TCACCAGTTGCCTGCATCTGGTCTGATTTTCAGAGCTGTAGGATTGCATAGATTCTCTGCAGACCATTGTGTTCAAGGTGTTTAAGTCTGTATATATTTGTGGTTGTGTTTTGTTTTATTTCATTTTATTTTATTTTACTTTTTGGAGACAGAGTCTTGCTCTGGCGCAGTCTCGGCTCACTGCAACCTCCACCTCCCAGGTTCAAGCGATTCTCCTGCCTCCACCTGCCGAGTAGCTGGGACTACAGGTGTGCACCACCATGCCCAGCTAAGTTTTGTATTTTTAGTAGAAACGGGGTTTCACCATGTTGGCCAGGATGGTCTCGATTTCTTGACCTCGTGATCCACCTGACTCGGCCTCCCAAAGTGCTGGGATTACAGGCATGAGCCACCGTGCCAATGCTTTTAATTTCTATTTTATCTTGTCTTCATGGATGACATTGATGTTTGTGGGTATTTGTGATCATCTATTAGAACAGCAAGGCAACAAGTGAACTTTGATATGTCCTCTTCCTAGGAGTAGTAACTCTGTTCCTGATTGGTTTCAGCTGAGTGGGGGCAATGGGCGAAACCTGTGGGGTTCTGGTTCTGCAGCAAGCACAGGCTTCTGCTGGCTTTCCAAGGAGTTTCAGCTGCCGCTCTCTGTCCCCCCCTTTCCATGTGTAAGAGATTTCTGGACCAGAAGCAGATCACAGAAAGAAGCAAAAATCTCTTAAATTTCAGTTTCTAGACATATTTGCTCAACAACATATGATTTCCTATTCAAAAGACTACAGCAACTTACTGCTCTGCATCTTACCTTCTTATTGCCTAGGACTTGTCTGCCTCAAATGAAAAGTACATGATTTATCCCAAAATATTCATCAGCAGGACAGTGAAGTAATTAGGAACCTATTATTTTGCCAGCAGGGACCGGAGTATGAATTTTAAGCTTGCTGCTGACTAATTCGATAACTTCAGGCATCCAGTGTATCTGAACTTCATCCTTAAAATTTGAATTATTATAATAGTAGCCACCATATAAAATGAATGAAGATTACATGAGATAATACAAGCAATGTCTGATATTCAGTGTTCAATAAATGCTGGCCATTACTATCTATTAGCCTTTCATTTATCTGGAGCATTTTGGTTCTTGTAGCAGTACGGTTCCCACCTAGACTGAAATCCTAGATCGTGGTATGTGGTTCTTCCTCATCACATCTGTCAGACTTGGTCGAGGATAAGAGCACAGCACAGAACCTCTTCAGACGACTACTGCCTCTGCCTTCAGACGACTACTGCCTCTGCCTTCAGAAATGTCGCTGCTCTGAAGATAGTGCATAGGGAAGGAGTTAATGACAAGTTACTGAGCTGGAAATAAAGGGGTAGAAAGAATGCCTTTATGGGCACATGAGTTTTCAAAACCTCTCAGCATATCTATGGGACTTTATTTGGAACCAGTGCCATCTGTTTACCGATGTCTCTGACAGAAATGTGTCCATGAATTTGAACCCTTCTTTTTTTTCCCCCTCAGCTGTGCAGTGTGACCAGATGTTCTTGTGTTTCAGAAGCAACCACATCCATCAAGCTCTTTGCAGGCCTGGATCGTTCATGCTTATGTAACTTCATTTCTCCAGCAGTGAGACTAGTGTGCTTGTTTACCCACTTTTTTTTTTTCCTTATTTTTTTCTCACATTGCTTTAAATTAAATTAAAAGCCAGCACTGTCACTAATTAACCAAGAGTGGCACATTTGTAAACCTGGATTTGCCTGGTTGCCAGTAGAGAAAAATCCCTCTGCACTCTGCCAAAACCGTGTTTACCAGGCACCATTGGTGTCTTGGCAATGCTGCTTGGGTTTTGTCAGAACATAATGTAGCTGTGTAAAAGATGTCCTTCGGAGATGTTAGCTGACTTGCCTTGTTCCCAGACTTAAATATGTTGTGAACTAATTAACACCATCGTGAGAGTAAACACTCAAATATCGTTACCTTGCGAATAACAGCACACAAATTTCTGTGCATGGGTTTCTGTCTCCTAAAAAAAGAATGATGATGGTTGTTATCACAGGAAGAGAAAATATTGGGAAAGTAAAGCATTGGCATCTGCTAACCGGCATTCTCTTGTCCCAGTTTCTAGCAATCTTAAATCTCTGGGGTAGAGCCATATTCTTTGAAATGTGTGTCATAAGTATTGCAGATTTGGACACAGAAGAGGGAACTGTGACTTTGGGGGCAAATGTGCTATTAAGAAGGTTTGAGAGGGTAACTTGAATTCATGCTAGAAAGAAGAATTTTTTTGCCTTCTCTGTCTTCCTTCTGACAACAGAAGAGCTCTACCGACAACAGGGTCACTTGAGTTCGGGGACTTTTGACTGAAGATGACCTTATTGCTTGGGAACAGCCTGGGGTTGACACCTTCTGGGCTATGGAGTAAATAAATATGCTTACTTCATCTGATCCTTGATCTGAAATGACTGACAGTGGGAATTGGAGATTCCGAGTGCCCAAAAGAAGTGAAGTTGAAGAGGAGAACAGAGACCAGTTTTACTGAAAAATGCTTATTTTTACGCATTACAATGAAAGTATTCACTTTTTTTCTTAAAAACTTCATTTTTGTCTAGAAACACAGAATAAAAATCACCTTTATATGTATACTCTATTACAATGCTGCCCAGTAGAACTTTCTGTGAAAATGGAAATGCATTCTGTGCTGATGTGGCCATTGAGCTCTTGAAGTGAGCTAGTATGACTGAGAGTTAGATATTTACTCTAATCTTAGTTAATTTAAATGTGAATCATCACTTGTGGCTGTGGCTACTGTATTGGGTGGCATAGCTGCTCTACGACGTATGAACTATGGCATTGTTTTTATTTTTGCAAACCTATTTAATTTTTGGCATAATAGAAGATGGCTGATTCTCATATCTGTTTCGGCATTCTACCTGTTGTAATAGTTTTTGCTGAAGTTTATGAAGAAAATATGACCATGCCCAGATATATGCTTGGAAAGGGAGATATAAACTCAAGAATTAAGATTTGATCATTTCTTTTGGCCGGAACTGCCATCTTCCAGTAATTCACCAAAATGACGAACACAAAGGGAAAGAGGAGAAGCACCTGATATATGTTCTCTAGATCTTTTAAAAAACATGGAGTTGTTCCTTTGGCTACGTATGTGCAAATCTATAAGGTGATATTGTAGCCATCAAGGGAATGGGTACTGTTCAAAAAGGAATGCCCACAATGTCACCATGGCAAAACTGGGAGAGTCTACAGTGTTCCCCAGCATGCTGTAACATTGTTGTAAACAAACAAGTTAAGGGTAAGATTCTTGCCAAAAGAATTAATGTGCGTATTGAGCACATTAAGCACTTTAAGAGCTGAGATAGCTTCCTGAAACGCGTGAAGGATAATGATCAGAAAAAGAAAGAAGCCAAAGAGAAAGGTCCCCGGGTTCAATTGAAGCATCAGCCTGCTCTACCCAGAGAAGCACACTGTGTGAGAACCAATGGGAAGGAGCCTGAGCTGCTGGAACCTCTTCTCTATGAATTCATGGCCTCGTAGGTGTTAAAAAATAAAAGACTCTAGACTGCAAAAATGTTTCTCTTCATTGAGTAGAAGTATGGTGTCCTCTCCCACAAAGCAATATTTAAAGCAAATTTTAATTGTGTCCTAATTCATTATGTAATGTCTTTACTATTCAGATTTAATGTATTTCTTGCTGAAAGATGTGAGGTAGCTTACTGTGCAACAAATTACTCAATTGGTTAGAAAATGACCAGGTATTAAGTATGAAATATTTGTACTGGTTTGAAGACAGTACCTTGATAGTACCTTCATCAAGGAAGAAATAAAATAAAATAATTTACAAAAATTAAAAAAAAAGATTTGATAAAATTAACAACGTTTACTGCCTTATGAAAGACTTTCTGTTGAGGCAGATCCTTACTCTGTTGCCCAGGCTGGAGCGCAATGGCACAAGCACGGATCACTGAAGCTTCTACCTGCTGGGCTCAAACAATCCTCCCACCTCAGCCTCTTGAGTAGCTGGGACTGCAGGCATGCACCACCACATGCTACTAATTTTTAGAAATTTTTTCGTAGAGACAGGATCTCCTTATGTTGCCCAGGCTAGTCTCAAACTACTGGGCTCAAATGATTCTCCCACTTCAGCCTCCCAAAGTGCTAGGATTACAGGCATGAGCCACTGCACAAGGCCAAAAGTTGTTTTTAAATTAGATTAGCTTTACAAAATATCTTTCAGTGCCACTACCTTCATTCACACAGGCACCAGCAGTTTTACCAACCATTGCATTTGTACCAATAGTACAAATGTCAATGTTATAAGTAAAAACAAGTAACACCAAAGTATTATCTTATAAATAGTTTAGACTTCTCAGGTCCTTTAGAAGAGTGTCAGTAACCCCTAGAATTCTGCAGACCCCACTTTTAGAAGTGCTCTAGAATCTTCTAGTCTTCCCCATCCTGCACTCCGCTCCTACCCACCCAATCAAACACACATACCACCCTTTTATCTAACAGAACAACTTAGCTCTATTCTTGGAGACCTTGGAACCAACCAATAACAAGGATCTCGATTTTTTCCCCCAAGCAATTAAGTTATATTTCCCAACAAACATAATTCCCACCTTAAAAGGAATTCTGGTGCCATTTGTAAGAATTATTATACTCCTTGTTTACCCTCTCCCATACAAACATCTGTAAATTTTTATTTCATCCCCAAGCTAGTACTTCCAACCTGTCTGCTGGAAAAATCCACCAGGATATGTACCTGTAAATAATTATCTGTTTCTTTGTTTCCTTTTTGATCGGTTTCTGCTGTAACACGGTGAGTTTATTGCAAGAAAATGGAGTTTATTTTATAAATATTAACTGGATGGATAGATGCATGATATACCAGCTGTGCCTATCGATCCCTCTCCCACAATGACTTGCTTCTCTTCTTGTTTCAGTTTTCTTAATGGTTCTCCCTTCCACGCATTCACTGAGTACTCACTTGAGCTAAGCATCCTCTTTGAACATTTCCTCTTCTTCTGCATAATATATGTGAAAATCATGAGACATAGCTAGTCCTTGGAGAAAAAGAAAATGCATGACTACATGCCATTTGGGTAGATTGTTACCAGGCTATTGTGAGTAAAATATCTGTCAAATTGGTATTTTTAATTGAAAAAAGAGTCACGGTCTCTTTTAGCTTTCTGGTTTTCAATGTAAGACTTGGGTGAAATGAGCTCTACTCGTATCACCTGGCAATGGCAATGTGCATACTATATTTTAGGAAATTGTCAAAAACTTTAAAAGGATTCTCACAGCTCAGCTCTATTTAAAATTCAAGAGGGAAAAAAATTTTAAAAAAGTCATGAGGGTTTCAGATGTCCTCCAAGCCCTGGTTTTCTTCACACTAAAGCTTACAGAGTCAAACATTGTAGACCCCACTTTTGGCAGAGAACCCACAGCCTCACATTATGTGGGGACTCAAGGTACCATATTTTAGCCACTAAATTTATTTCTGGACTCTTGTTAGTGACTATATGAATTCTTTAGGGCCCCATGGCAGAGCGGTCTCCAGGGATTTTAACACATTCTGAATTTTGGTTGCACAGGAGCCTGGAGACTGTTGCTTTCAGCTGGAGCAGAACAACTGACAATGAAAACTGCATTAAAAGCTCCTGGTGACCTCCTGAGGCAATACTGCTACTTTTGAAAATAAACGTGTTTACCTAACAATCACTTAGAAGGAAATTTTGAGATATATGATTAAAATGTATTGAGCTACAGATATGAAAATCTAATCTTCAAAAAGAAGCACAGTATTGTGGTGTAAGAATTGGATCACAAAGAAGAGATTTCTCTTATAGCCCTGGTTTCACCCCCAACTAGTTATATGAACTTGGACAAGTAATTGAACTTCTTTGGGTTTCAGCTCCTAGTCCATATCTAACATGCGACATGAATCACAACTTTCTTTCTATCTTTGAATTCTCTGGCATTCTCAATCCATATAATCCTTTGCTTTCCTATTCTGATAAACCAGCTACACACTTGTATCTTTGCCTTTTGTGAACATGAGTTCCTAATAACTAAACTGAATTTCATTTTGCTTATAAACTATTTACTACCATACCAATTATAAAATGCAAATGTATTAGTGTATAAATGATTTGCCTTCCATGGGTACTGAGGCAAGTGTAGTATTAGAAGGCTGGGGTCAAAAGCTCTTCATTTTTCACTCAATGGAATAACTTGTTTTGTCTAACACCTTTGTAAGATCTAGAATCAGCATCACCTTATTTACAAAAAATATAGATGAAAGTTGCTTCTAAGCTCTCCGATCTTTCAATAGCAGCCATTATTAGCAAATACAGATTCATAAATGTGTTATAAATAAATTTTTGGTGCAGCAAAAGAAATAGCACTCAAACATAAATTCAATTTTCTCAGCAAGGCAATTTTACTTCCATAGAAGGGTATGACTCACGGAAGGAGCAATGGCGAGCACACCCAAACAAGGGAGGGGAAGGGGTTTTTATTCCTGATGCAGGTAGCCCCTACTGCTGTGTCATTCCCCTATTGGCTAGCGTTGGACTACACAGTCTAAGCTAATTCTGATTGGCTATTTGAAAGAAAGCAGGGGTACTAGCCATAGTGCCGGGGTGAGTAGTTTGGTCGGAAGGGCAGTTACAGAACAGGTGACTCAGGATGATTCAGGTCAGAGCAGGTGACCAGGGGTGACTCAGGATGGAGCAGGTGACTAGGAGTGACTCAAGACAGAGCAGGTGACCAGAGGAACAGTTGTGAACTACCGATTATAACTGGTGGGAAAGGTTGTTTACTGAAACTAGGGGTGAGGAGAACAAGGAAGTTAAATTTTAAAATGGAGAACAAAGAACAGGGGAGCTGAACATACTGATACATTGGTTCTTTAAGGAGGATCTCAGAACTCATTGTACTTAACAAATTACAGGCTAAAACCTTTGAAGAGGAATTTACTATATCCTACAAATGCAAGGTCATATACATGACTAAAATTTTACATGGCAGATACAAGATGTCACAGAGTGCATTATTTTCTAACTTCTTTATTTTATTGAATGGGACATGATGAATGCCCAGTTATCTTGGTGAAGCTATTCATGCCGAGGTTTCCAGTGTCCAAGTCCACGTATATATCACTAAGTACCAGCCCTGGAAAAAGTTGACTTCTAATAACTTTCCAACATTGTTAGATTGGTCACAGAGAAGCATTAGCCACAACTGTAGCATAGGATGCTTTCTATATTTCATTGAGAAAGATACCCATTTCTCCACCTAAATAGAATATGGTTTGAGCCTCAGTATAAACTTTCCATTTACAGTGGGGTAGTTTGATTACTGTTTCTTTATTCATGCCATCATTATTGCTGTGACATATAATAAAGCACTGGTGATGAGGGGGAGGAGAAGAGTGCTCATTCGTCTTAGACCATACAGTGATTTACTCTGCAGCAAGTTAGCATGCAGGATTTGCTCAATAAGAACGTGCATAGATTTAAAAAAAAAAAAAGGGCTATGATTCCAAATATGGGGCTAATTCAGAGACCGTGAACTTTTGTCTAGGAAGCAGGCAGATCAAAAGAATCAGCTGTTGTCTCGTAAGAGGTGGTGAAAACTGCTGTGTGTATAAGCATGGTTCAGTTGGTTATATGAGTTTCTATTGAGGCTGCTTATTACATTTTTAAAATGCAATTTTAGCCACAAAAAATTGTTAGAAATTAAATTTTATTTCCTTCTGAACAGACCTTCTGTGAAATGTCTTTTACTAAATATCAGTTTTTTTGTCCCTGTCAGACAACTCCAGTTTATTCCTTGCTAAATTGGAGGAGTATAATTCCAGATTCACCTGTGGTGAGCTATTTGCTGATCACAGTAAATTTCACATGACTTTGTTAATATCTAACCTCATCTTCAGGTAATTGAAGTCTTCTAAAGGTACATAACCATAGTGGTGCAAACATCCTTAAGTAAAATGGCCAGTGACAACCCATTTATTCACCCTTCATCACCTTCTCAAAGAATTCCTGTTACAACAAGATGTCATCATCCTAATCTCTCAGGACTAGATTAAGGATGGCTGCTTACCCTCTCATCTCTCACTCTCGTTAGTTTTATATTTTCTTACCTAGAACTTTCAAGCTACATTTAAAAATGCCCCAAGTTATTTTATTTCCATGCCTTTGGGGAAATTGCTTTGAGGTGACTCTGTCTTTATATTTTGATGACCAAATGTAAAGTCAGAGCAACAAGAGAAACCAGAATGGAATAGAGGAGCAATTAAATTAATATTGTAGGTGATGTATCTGAATGAATTGAAGTTGGCATAGTATTTAAATTTACTAAGGAGGGTATCATTTGAAAAATTAAGGACAAGAATTTTAATCTGGCAATGTCCCCTCAAAGTCTTACTTAAAACATATACTTCCGCTTGCCTGTATGAAGTTACCTGTCTTTTCTCTCTCTCTCTCTCTCCTCTCTCTCATCAGCCCTCATGAGATCCTGCTTTAATTTATGTGACTAGCTTGCAAGTCTGAACTAAGAAAGGGCTGTTTCTAGTATAGTAAATAAAAATAATATCAGAGTCACTTCAAACAATGTTTTTGAAATTTAAGTTCAGAACAGGTAGTTCAGACTTCACAAATACTTTTGGCTTCACACTTGCTTCCCTTCTCTACTATGTCTTCAGTGACATTGTGCAAAAGGGCAATTCCATTTCCATAGGTTACATTGACTTTGCAGAGCTGAAGAAAAAAAAAAAAGAAAAGAATGAAAAGAAAAAAAAAAACCTGAGAAGGTTTGGTTTGGGCCTAGGAACTAAATAAGCACAAGATAAAAATCACAGTGGAAGTGAGTGTCATTGAAATAAAGTGACTTGTTTTTATCACAAGGCTATTTTCAGTTAAGTCCACTCTAATTCTTATCTTTATTCATCCTACAAGTTATAGATAATGCATGGCCATATTAAAATTCTCTTCTTGGCCTGAATCTCCTATCTCCGATAGACAAGCTGGGTCCTTGACAGCTTGATTGTATGTGTGTTGATTTTTAAAAGACAACATGAAATCGTTAAAGTTGGAATTTCCTGATTATTTTAGACCAGGTTCTACATACTGCACTGATATTACATAGCAATTTTAGAGAGCAACAGTAATTGCATTAAATGACTTAAAGTGATTAGTAGAAGCAGAAGGAATAGGTGATCTGGATTGTTTTTGAGAAAGCTCTTAATGAAGTATATTATGCATGTAGAAAAGTGTAAAAATCTCAAGTGCTCAGTTTGATGTATTTGAACAAAGTAAACACACCCCTTTAACTATCAGACTAAGAAATGGAACATTAACACCCAAGAAGCCCCATGCCCTGCCCAGTCACAATTCCCCAAAAAGTAATCACTCTCATGACTTCTAACAACATAGTTTAGCCAGTATTTGAAATTTACATAAATCGGATTATATAGTGTGTACTCTTCTATGTCTGTTTTTTTTCACTCAGTAGTGTGTGCAGCGATTATTCAAGTCATTCATGTGATAGCAATGCTATCAAGTCATTCATGTGATAGCAATTGCTGTATAGTATCTTATTGCAGGTATCAACAATAGATTAAATATCTATTAGTATTTGTGCTCTTACAAATAGTATTTTGGGAACACACGCATATGCATTTCTGTTGAACACAAACATTTAGGTAATAAACTATGCATATTATATATATTAATGGATACTGCCAAACTTTTGCAAACAGCTGTACCACTTTTCACACCCATTAGCAGTGTGTGAGGCTTCTAGTTGCCCTACATGCTTACAATCTCTTGCTATTGTCAGTCTTTGTTATTGTAGTCAATTTGGTTGTATCGTAGGAGTTTTATGTTTTAGTCAGAATTTCCTTGACAACTAATGAAGGTAGATTTTTTCATATTTTTATTGGCCATTTGGATGTGTTTCTTGGAGAAGTGCTTATTGAAATCCTTACCTCATTTTTCTACTGACATATCTTTTTGTTACTGATAGGTAAGAGTTTATGTATCCCTAATATAAGTCTTTTGTGTGTGTATATATGTGTGTGTGTGTGTGTGTGTGTGTATGCATTGCCAATGTCTTCTCCCTCTCTGTAACTTGCCTTACCACTCTCCTAATGGTGTGTTTTAATGAAACTGTTTTAATCTTAATCAAAGTTTTATTTATAATTAGTGCTTTTTGAGTCCTGTTTTAAAAAATCATTCTCTCCCCAAGTTTCATGAAAATATTATCTTTTCTTCTAGAGGTCCTAGGGTTTTACCTTTCACATTTGTATCTATGAGCCACCTTAAATTATGATTTAAGCTAATTCTTCCTCTACAAATATACATTTCAGCTGACATCATTTATTGAAAATAAAATATTTTCCTTCACTGCATTGCAGTTACACTTTGTTATGCCCCAGGAGACTATATATTTGTGAGTCCATTTCTGGATTCTCTATTCTGTTGTATTGGTCTGTCATTGAACCAATACCTCATTGTCTTAATTATGAAACTTTGGAACAAATCTTGATATCTGACGGTCTGTCATTGAACCAACACCTCATTGTCTTAATTATGAAACTTTGGAACAAATCTTGATATCTGATGGTGTTAGTCCTTCAACGTTGTGTTTCCACAAGGTAGCCTGTCATATGCATATATATTTTTAAATAAGCCCGACAATCTTCACACCCCCACCCCACCATTGCAACAGCCCAACAACAGCAACAGCAGCAAAACCTGTTGGCATCTTGATAGGAATTGTAGTAACCATATATGTTACTTTGGAAATACCAGAAAACCTTGAAAAAATTGTGTCTCATGAATTTGGAGTGGACACTAGTTAACTCACTACACTGTTATTAATCATTCTACATGTGTTAGTTCACACCCTTTCTATGATTGGTTATAGGCAACTTAGTAACCCCTAGTATGTTAATTTTGAATATAATTACTGCTTATACCAGATCCTGTCACCATACCCATCTGACTGTAGGTTTTACAGAACTGCAAATGAAGTAACCCTCGTTTTGACACCATTAAGATATAAAATGGTCCTCTCTGGGGAGCAGGTAGTCGTCGGCAGCTGAAATCAGTAAGACGCTGTGGCCAGAACTGGGACATAGTTCATAAAATGTACACTTTACAATTCATCCCCTGACTCTGAGAATATTTTTAGAATTTAATTAAAAAATAAAATACTGAGTCATCAGTCTATAACATGGAATATGCTTCTATTTGCAAGTTTTTAAGTGTGTCTGAATACTGTTTTTAGTTTTCAGTGCAGAGGTCTTGCATGTCTTTCTTAAGTACTTGATATTTTTTGAGCTATTGTAAATAGCATATATTATTTTTACATTTCAATTTTCTACATATTTGTTTTATCTGATTTTTTTTCTGGATCTTAACACTGGTCTGCTATAAACTACACCAAGCTGAAAGCAGAAACAGAGACCTACTTAGATTATAAATAACTATTATGTTAACAGAATTACCTTTGCACATATGAAAAAAGAATGTTGCTTTGCAGAAACACTAGTTATGTTTGATCTGTAGTGATCCTAAAGGTGATTATGAGAAAGAAAATTAGAAAGTAAGTTTTTGGTTTTGTTTTTTGCTCAGTTCTGATAATCTCTTTTACCGTGAGACTATGTAAGTGCATTCTCAGCAGAAATCACAGTAGAGGGTTAAGTGGACTAAATCGGATTTATACTGCCTATGAAGGTGCAATAAATGGGCACAAAACTACCCCAGCGTGCAAAACTCTTCAGTGTAAATGAGCCAAACTGCTAGTTATTTGTCAACGGCTCTATCATTATCCTGTGCGCATCCACCCCTAATAGGGGCTGTCAGGTTCATATATGGCTTGTATGTTGCGAGTTGTTGTGTCTCTCCCGATAAATTCCTGTCAGTTGTGGATCTATCTGGTTAGGACATTAGAGCAAGGAAAAAACAGTGCAGTGATTGACAGTGATCAGAATGGGGTGATGGAATGTGGGATGTGGAGAGAAATGGAGGGAAGATAACAAAGAAGCATAAAGAATAAAAAATTGTGCATAACGTGCAGGTTTGTTACATATGTATACTTGTGCCATGTTGCTGTGCTGCACCCATCAACTCGTCATTTACATCAGGTATAACTCTTATGCACTTGTACCCTACAACTTAAAGTATAATAATAATAAATAAATTAAAAAAAAAAAAAAAGAATAAAAAATTGTATGCTATATGGTTGAATTCATCCATCTTGGAGCCTGATTGGTAAGCCTCACATTTAAAAAGTAAAAATCCTATTACTATTTTCTTCCTAGCAAATGCACATGGAAAATCAGTATAACACAACCAGTAAAATAAGTCTCAGCCCAGGGGACAACCCTTCTTTAAGTCCACAAAAAGTAAATTCAATATGTAAATACATTTTCCCATAGTTTTATATATATTTCTAATAATAAAAGCAAATATGTGAGTTGTGTAATTCTCATCTGATGGGGGAACTGAGAATCAAGGAATTTAATGACTGATACCTTGAAAAACAGCTAAATTCAAGGACTTTTAAACCTTGCTTTAGAATTCTTTCTATAAAACCATACTGATATGTTAATTTTATTCCTTCTAGAAATACCTCTTGGCATCCTAAAATATAAATGTAATGATTCTTAGAGTATTTCTAAAATGCATCAAATTTCTACTCTTTTTTTCACATTTTATGCATTTGTCCACTTTGAATATTTCATCAATATTTTCATTAGAATCCCCTTTGGGTAGTTACCTTCCTAGGTCCAACATTGTGATTCTTGCTTTATCTCAGGTAGAATTATCTGGAACAAAGAAGCAGCAACCCAACAGTTTGGAGGGCATAATGTGGCTCTTTTTTGACAATTGATCATAATTAGTGGTATAAGCAACCACTTATGTGGTTAGTTAGTGGTTAGTTCGATACAAAGCAACTTCTAAAATGTCAAAAAGAAAATATCAAAACAGAATCAAAGTGAACAAAAGCACAGCCATAATTGACATCCATGCCCTGTATTCCTGAAGCATTGGAAACCTAACTGAAAAGCTAAAACCCTGTTCACACCAACCCTAAATTTTGTTTTCTCTCTCTTACTGTTTTCATTTATTTAGTTTTGGTTTTTTTTTTTCTTTCTAAAATTGAATTAACCAATATTTGCTGGCCCACCAGCCATAGAAAAGCTAGGTTGGGGAGCAATATAACAAAAGGAGAAAAAACATACCAAGTGATGAGTCTGGAGATGTGATTTTTCAGTTCCTGCCTATATCTTATAGTCGTGTGACCTCGATCACCTCTCAGGACCAGGCACTTGCTCAGAGAGTGTTTGGGCTTGGTGTCACCTAGCGTCCTCGTTAGCTCAAAGATCACCCTGAGCTCTTGACCTAGTGGGGAGAGGAGAGATAGAAGCATGATGACTTTAAAAGAGCCTCCAGTAGAATGCCTCATTTGGACTTATTTTCCATTACCAAAGGCTGGCAATGAGGTTTAAAGGCTACATACATGTAAACTGATTTGGGAACAAAAAGATTTTGAATGTTTATATTAAACTGTTTGAACTATCATGAGGGATATTAAAATGTCTGTGACACAGTTCGTGTCATAGAGGAGATTTTTCTTTCAATGGAGAAGACATTCTATACAAATACATAATAATGTTGGAAAAAAATCTGAATAAGCCTAAATGGAGTGCTAAAATTACAAAAGTATAAGCATTAGATGCTATAGAAATTCAGATACGCAAGACACATCTGGAGGAGCACTGAAGATGATCTTGAAGGAGGGGCTTGGGGAGTGGACAGATTTGGATAAGCAGATGTATATAAGGAGGTGCCCATTTTTGATGAGAACAACATAATCAACTGAATACATAGAAATGCAAGAGGAGATATCTTCCAGGAATAGTGAGAAGAAAGTCATCTTGGATCAGAGGACTGTTGGGAGGTAGGATTGGAGGAGGCAGGGAGTATCCATATTTTATAGATGATGTTCAGGTTGAAGAAGCTGGACTTTGATAGTTCATGAGGAGCTAGCAAAGGGAAGGGATTGCAGAGGGAAATTTAGTCTTTCAGAAAGATAAAACAAAGGCCAACTGGAAGAATTGATTAAATGAGAGAAGACATTAGTGGCAAGGAGTCAAGTTGGATATCTATGCAACTGCCAGGTAAAGATGAAAACCTAAAGCATTAGAAGTGCAAAAAATCACCGGGCACGGTAGCTCATGCCTGTAATCCCAGTACTTTGGGAGGCTGAGGCGGGAGGATCACTTGAGTCCAGGAGTTCGAGACTGATCTGACCAACATGGTGAAACCCCGTCTCTAACAAAGAATACAAAAATTAGCCAGGTGTGATGGCAAGCACCTGTAGTCCCAGCTGCTCAGGAGGCTGAGGTACAAGAATCACTTGAAGCTGGGAGGCGAAGGTTGCAGTGAGCCCGGATTGCACCACTGCACTCCAGCCTGGGCAACAGTGAGGTCTGTCAAAAAAAAAAAGAGGGGGGTGCGGGGAGGGAATCCAATGTTGTCCAACATTGGAGGAACTTCCTCAATAATTCTCTTTTCTCCTTTCCCTTCCTGATCTGAATAAACCTCTAGACAAAATTGTATTTTCACTCATCAAGCCTAAGAAAGCGTCCTAGTCCCTATTGGTGGTCTTTGGTTGGATGATATAGAATTGATTTTGTAGTTTGCTTCATGGAGGCCACTGAGAAATTTGTTCGTTGAAATGACCTTTTGTGTTCACCCGATTATTGAGACATGACCGAATCCCCATCCTTAGTTCAAAAAGAAAACAAATCCTCTTCATTACTTTGCTGGCTCCCCTCCCTTCTTGATCTTAGCCAACTTTTTTCCAGGGTCTCCTATCTGCTCTCCTCCCATGACAATATTCTTGGATATTTTGTTCCCTTGGAGTCAAAAGACACACTCTTTATGTGGTGAAAAAGAGTATGTCTCATCAAATTCACTCCGGACTAGCTGTCTATAGCCCAGTGATAATAATTCCACTATCTAAAGGAAAAATGTAATTTTACCACAAACACTCCCATGATGATTCAGTCCTAACTCTTGCCAGAGAGAAGGCTACGCCATTTTTTTTTCTATCCCCAGCACACAGGCTGCTGTGAAGAAGCATCTGCTGTCTAATTCTTTTCTATATTAGGATAAAATGCTTTTTGGCTTGCTGATTTCAGGCCCTTAGGAAAAGAGAAAACAAAGTTTCTCATAAAGTCTTCATTGCACAACAAGTTGGTCTGTGTTCTGGGAACCCCAGGCATGGACTTGTGGACCGAGCCACAAGAGCCATAGCTCAGAGATAATCGGGTCAGGAGCTGGATGTGATGTGCTTGCTCTGGGGGTATAGATGGTGTCTATGTAGCTATAATTCTTCCACTGTGGCTGCCTTAATGCCCAGATCATTTTAACTGGCTTCTTATCACATTTGGGAGGACCAGCATACTTTTCCTAAAAACTAACCAGATAGAGAGTTTGGTTTTCTACAGCTCCAACAGAATGAGGCACAGGAATAAAAATCCGCATTCACAGATGAATGTGTCCTTGAGAACGTATCTGGAGAGCACCTGAGGAAAATGCATTAGAGTGCTATTTTCCTACCAGTTCCTTCTGAGCCTCCTCCCCGCAGGGCTGCTTTTGATTAAGACAAGGGCACGCTGTTCCCATGAAGACTCCCGAGCCAGGGCAGGGGCAGGAGCCAAGGGAGGTGGGGCTACTGAAGGAAGCATTCACCTGTTGAAGGCTGTTGGCCTATCTCATGAGAAGGCTAGATGGGAAAGTCTAGGACACACACCTTGTATTTTGCTCTCTCCTCTCAAACTCCAGCTTTCTGTGTACCAGGGAGCTGGCTCACATTGCAAGTACTGGCCATCTGCACAGCATCCCTGGACACATTCAGAAGTAAACTGGGAGGCCCAAGCTCTCTGCTGGGAAACAATCACATCCACAGGGCTGTGTGCTGTGTTTGTGTTGGTAATATAATAATAATCATTATTATTGCTGTTATTGTTATAATTTTCCAAACTGGCTCATTTTAATGTATTTTCTATGACCCTCACCCTCATGGATATAGAGAGATAGTTATTGAACGTGCCTTAAACTAGCACATCTCATATGTCTTACTACTTGCAATTATTATTTCAGGACCATAAAGAATACAGCTTCCTTTTCTGTCCAGCAAGATATATTTCAAAGCCAAAGAGTGCCATATCACAGTTTAAAGGACTAATGGTTTTAAAAAGTCAAGGTGATGAAGGAGGAAGAGTATTTACTAAGTCATAAACATTTGCTTCTTCACAAAGCCCAGATTTTAGGCCTCTAGACATAACATACCTGTTCTCAGAGTTTTAACAATGCAGCTCTCAAAAGACTCCCCTTTGGTTGTAGGCGATTCACAGATTTTTAGCTTCTTACTCTCTGGTTAGGGTTGATGTGCCAGGGAACTGTTTTTATTAGGTTTCAACGCATCTGCGGTGCTTAAATAAGAGACTGAAACAGGCACTTGTTCCATGCTGTAGGGTGATAAGTTGCATTAATTTTTATTTTAGGCTGTCTCCAAACATGGCTTTTATAGGCTAATAAAAAAGCAATTTTTATAAGTTCACAAAAAACAATGAACACAATCGAGCATAAATATCTTACAACCAGGGCCAGAGGAAAATTATGAACTAAAAAATCTGCTGAAAGAGGCACAAAAAGCACAATTCCTAGATGCTGCATTCTCAAGGTAAATTAAATGCTCACCTATATGAAAAAGTGTGTAAATATAACTTTCCACTAGTGTTTCTTCCCTGTTCTTACCCTGCTGTAGTCTGGAACTCTATCTCCCTACTCTTCACTAATTTATACCCATCATACTCTTTAAGATCAACCTCAAATATTCAGCTCTTTTGGAGGTAATATTATCCATTAATGCCAGTCTTCTTTGGCATCCCTGTAACACTTACTTTTTAATATTTTGCTTTATATCAATCCTTAAAGTATTTGTTTTTCAAAACTTAACTAGATTGTAAACTTTTTCAAAAATATGGAATTTGTTTTCTTTCTGTAAAAAGAATTCTGCAATAGCATCTAAGACCAATGGTTGATATCTGCTAACTACTTATTGTTACTATTATTTATATGATGCAAGAGCGTTTCCTCAACCATGCTGTACTATACTTCCTGATTCATAAGTTCATGTCTTTGTAGGGATCAGCAGCTACCAGGGATGACATTGAAAAGATAGGATTCATTGTGCACAGGAGTTTTATTTCAAACCTTCATACTTGAGCCTTCTCATTTCCTTTTTCTCCTGACTTGATATTGATTTTCTTCATGCCTGAATGAGTTTTTAATCCTGCCAAGGTGGAAGTTCATATTTGCAACTTTTATTTCTTATTTCAAAAGAAAATGAAAGCTAAAAATGTCTGATTAATTTTCAAAAACTAGAAAAGGTTAGTTCTTTCCCACCCCCATATAACACAAAAATGAATGTGCTAATTTAGCTGAAATGTTATGAAATATGTACTATTGGGTGGAAACCAAGTATGGAAATTCCATAAACATTTCCCACTGTGATATCTCCTCAGAGACACCTGCTCGCTTCCTACCAAACAGATTTCTATTCCAATAATAAAAATGTAAATACATTCAACATCAGTAAAAAGAAATTCACCTACCAATTTTGGGAAGCCTTAGCTCTCTAAGCAAGTTTTATGATCTTTTACAACATCACAGATGACTCCAGTCATGGATCAATACATTATACACATTTATATATGAAAATAATAGTAACTGCCTGGATTCTATCATTATCTTCAGCTACAAATTTCAGTCTACAATTACAATTTCATTATAGTTTTAAATGTTCTCCTCTAAACATTTTTAAGCAACTAACTAGCCTCATGAACACTACTGACTCTTAGTGAAATGATTAGTGGAAGGATAATTGCATGTCAGATGTTGTGTAACTTTTTGGGAGCCAGTTTCCCACAGCATTTTAAGTTCTTGGAATTCCATCGATGATGTTCTCACACTATTCATGCTCAAAAATTCACTGGCAACACACATCTGTGTTCACCCTTTCAATCATGATAATGTCCACAATACTTTCATATTCCTAGAGGATTAAGTAATACCTCCAGAATCTTAGAAGACAAACATGACTTATGTTGGACTTGAAATCATTCTACCATCCATAATAGGAAGAGTCTAAAATTGGAAACCACTTACACACTAGAAGCAGAAGATTGTCATAACTGCCTATTTCTGGCTTAATAGCAAATTAATATAATGAAAAGATCTGTAACGTAATGACAGAAAATATATAACCCTGGATATGGATCCCTTTTCTTGCTCTTCATCTGCAATCCAGATCAATTCTGCTTAAATTG